TGTGTGTGTGTGTGTGTGTGTGTGTGTGTGTGTGTGTGTGTGTTTGCGCTAAATGTTGAAAACTTTTAAAAATAAATTACAATCCCTTATTTATATGACATAAGGGGAGTACCGGCACTTTTATTCCACTTAAAGCACTGCATAAAGTTTTTAATAAAAAATAAAAACAGTTGAATCTCTAATAAAAGCGACTAACTCACTTTGTTTTTMGGGCTCACAGGAGGTGGCGGGGAAAGATCTGACGACTTGGACCCGTCTGAACTGGTTTTTGGCTGCAGCTGGGCTGAGTGTGGTGCAGTGGAGCCGTCCTCTTTAGTGGGACTGGGGGAGCCGCTGGGTCTGGCTGCCTGTGGAGGAGTGGACGGGGTGGAAGGCACGGAAGGTGGCGACACGGGATGTTGCCACTGTGGATGAAGGTTGTGGTAAAACGCCGCTGCTTCCATGTGAGGCGCAGCCTCGGGGCTTGGGTAGATGCCCACCGGCAGGTAGGGGAGCTCCACAGGCTGCGCTGGGGCCTGGTAATGGTTCGGGTAGAGGGCGGGGTAACCCGGCTGAGAGGCTAAKGGGCTGGGTAGCTGCGGGTGGAAGCCCGGATAGGGGGGCATGCCCTGGGTGGGGAGGTTACCGGGGGGGATGAAGGACTGGGCCATGCTCATGGCCATGGAGATGACATTCGCCAGGGAGAACAACGGCTGCGTGTGGGCGGGCCACATGTTGGGGTGCTGCTGCTGCGGCGTCGGCGGGGACATGGTGGCGCTCTCGTTTGTAGGGCTGAAGGTCTCATTTATGGGACTGGGGGAGCTGGGGGTRGGGGAGGGCACGGACGGGAAGGTGGGGTTGCTGGCTACCCGAGTTAGCGGCGGGTGGACCCCCGCTGGCTTCGGAGAACCCGGAGAACCCGGGTAAGGGAAGGGGAAGTGCGTCTGGCCCAGGTAGGGCACATGGTAGTGCTGCTGGTGGGAGAGCAGAGAAGAGGTGCGGCTGTGATGCTGGTAGGCGAGCGGAGAACCTGAACGACAACACAAACATGTTGAATTTATGTTTGTTTATGTCAAAACAATAACAAAGGATCATTACATCATAATTAGTCTAAAATGCAGATACAGATTTCTACAGATTCAACACTTGTAACTTCCTGCCACTGGAAGGTGGGCCATGTTTTCGTCTTTGTCTGCAGGGGGTGAATGTGGGTACATGCATCGGTCTGTTAGCAAAARATCTTACAAACCAGRGAGTGAGTTTTGATGAAGATCCCAATGCAATTCAAAATGGCAGCCGCAGCTAAACGATAATAGCAAACACAAACAACTCAGTTATTTTTAAAGATATTCTGCTCAAGTTTGATGTGGTAGTACCTGAAGGACATCCTCAACACGTAACATGCACTCCTGTTTTGCTTTCTTCTTCACTCCTCTTCAAACTCACAAACTTGTTTAACATCAAGTTGTAAAGTGAGTACAAATACTTCTTCACTGTACTTAAGTAGAATTTTTGGCTATCTGTACTTTACTTGAGTAATTGTTTTTCAGCCTATTTTTTACTTCTGCTTCTTACATTTTCACACAAATATCTGTACTTTCTACTCCTTACATTTTTAAAAAAAAAGCCAAGAAGTAGAAAGT